CCAAACCAGCACCAAGGGGAGGTTTGGAGAAAGGCTCCAGGTGCACACTTGGCCCTGTGGTTCATCCAGCCACCCCATTCTACCTCCTCCTGCCGGCCAGGTGAGCCAGAACCAAGCTACAAGATGTGAGACTGCACAAGCTGGCAGGAGGCCGTGGCCAAGCTGGAGGCACAACCAGATTTCCAGCTCAAATCCACTCAGCATCAAAGAAAAACCCCAGCCAGAGCCAGGGCAGATTTGGGACGAGATGACCTCTGATGCTCCCTTCCAGCTCCATGATTCTATGATTCTATAATGCTATGGGCAGGGGGCTGGCATGAGCAACACCCACAGCTTTGGCCACGGCCACAGCAGCAACATCAGCATCTTCTGATGGCTGCTGCTCTGCAGGTCATCACATGAACAAGCAGGAGCCAGCCCTGCCCCACGTGGCAGTCACAGCTCGAGGACTTTCTCCTCGGTGACACAGCAGCTTCCCAACCCTTTGAAGACATCCCCATGTGCTTCGGGGGGTGATTCGGTTCAGCTTCACGGATCAAAGAGGGATCATCTCCACAGAGCGCTGCTTCCATCCATACCTGCAGCTCAGGAAGGCAGGAGCCGCTGCCAGCAAGGCAGAGCTGAGCAGGAATCACAGCCAAACCTCAGCCTGAAACGCTCTGCAGTTCCCAACAAGGAAATAAAGGGCACTGAGGTCCTGGCCAAACGAGCTGGCCGAGCCCTAACACCATCCTCCATCCTTTGCTGGCAGAGGAAAGTGCTGGGGGATGAAAAACAAAACCAGAAAGTTTCCATGAGCACAGGAGAAGGATTACAGACTTTCAGCTCACGGGAGAGGTGAAGGACCAGCAGGAAAGGAGCGGGTTCACCCCAAAGGTTTACAAGGCTGCAAAGCGCCGCGAGGTCTCAGCCACCCCACGAATCACCCAATGCTGGTGAGGGGAAAATTAAACAGAGCACGGGATTAAATAAAATCAATGTGATTTTAAGCGCCCGACTGTTAAAGAGTAACTGGGAATAATTGCTGCCTTATAAACACCTTCAGGTCAAAGGTGCGCTGCCTCCAGCAGCGGCAGAGGAAAGCTCTCCAGCAGCAGATAAGGCACCTGGTCCTTGGACTCCAGGCTTCCAGGCAGAGCATTGCTCCCTATGGGAGAGTTCCTGGAGCAGTCTGATACCAGATCTGCACGGGCAGTGAACGCCCATCAGGTTGCAGGGTTCAACCCTTCCAAACCAGCTGGGGTTACCTGCACACCTCCTGCAGTGCAAACAGAGATTGTCGGTCAGCCCACGCACCCCCCAGCAGAGATAGCAAGGTTTGTGGAGGGCGGATAAGGCTTGGGAACAGGGAAAGCATCATTCAGGAGGAGCCTTTTGTGGGCTCAGGGCTCTGATGGGTTTGGAGAGGGCACAAACTCACCCATCAGCCACCACTAAGAGCCCCAGCAGAACACTTTGGAGCTCGAGGGCCACAGAAATCTGTGCGTCACAGCTGACAGGGAATCAACTTCAATGAAAGGCCATTTTTAAATGAAACCCAACTTCTTCCAGCCTGAAAAGGACGCAGGAACACGCAGGAGTGCTGTCAGAGGGCTCAGCCAGCCCTGCTGTGCAAGCTGGCAGAAAACCCCAAACCTCTGCTAACCCAAAGCCACGAGCAGCGAGGCAGCCCAACACCCCACCTGCCTCTGCTGCCTCCCCAGACGCAGCCTGCGGAAGCCCAGGAGCACTTCAAGACTTCTTTTGGTCTTTCAAGAGACCGAGCACCTCAACCCCCAGGCCCAACCGTGGTCAGAAGATGCTCCATCCCAACGCCATGGCTGTAAGGGAATCAGCATCACGCAGGAGCAGAGCTGAGCCCTCCCTGGCAGCAGGATTGATTCAGTTCCATCAGGGGCAGCAGGAGGGGGAAGAAGTGAACGATCCTCACGTCCTGCCCGCAGCCCAGGCTCCTGCCACCTGCACAAACCCCAGCCAGCCAAGCTGGGCAGCGCGAGCTCTGCAGGAGAAGCTGTACCCACCTCCAAAGGCAGCAGGAGCCTCACCCGAATGACAGCACAGCCTGTTTAACTAGCTGGAACGTCATGTCCCCAGCCATTGAAGTTCTTTGGCCGTCACCAACCTGAAGTAAACAGATTCTGCAGCAGCAATAAGCTCGTTACCAAGGCCACCGTATTGATCCCCGAGCGGAATTAAAAGGCGCCGTTCAAGCACGCCGTGGGGCAACTGAGGTGGCCTCCCAAAGGCAGCCCCCGCCTGCAGCTGTGACAGGGGGCCCTGCTGTGATGCTGGGGACTTTCTGAGCCTCCTACAGTGGCCCCGAACCTCTCAAATCGACCCACGCTCCTGAAGTCATTGAGAAGGGGGGCGATCGCGTGCTGCCGAAGCATTGGCACGAGGTCCCCTGCGGGCTGTGGGACTGGCAGCAACGTCACCACGACGCTCCAGGCCAACGTGAGGCAGAGTCCCCAGAGAAGCAGGCTTTGATCAAAGGGCTCAGCAGGAAGTGAAGCAAAGCCCTCTGCAAACAGCAGCGTTGCCCGCAGGAAGCTCGCGATGATAATAACGAGTCCAGCCAGCCAGAAGCAAATCTCCTGGACTGAGTGCTGCTCAAACAGCAGGGATGTGGTGCTCAGAGATTGCTGGGAGGAGCAGGGCACCGTCCTCACCTGCAAAAGCCTGGGCTGAACCGGCTGCTTATTGGCAAGGCTCACTGCCAGGCTTGCTGGCTGTTAGAGAAGGACGCCCAGCCACAGCCCTGAGCAGGGGCAGCACGAACAGGATCCAGCTTGGGCAGGGAACAACACACAGGGAAAACTGTCAGGGTCCCAAAGCAAGCATTGGTGGAGGGCTGGACCCAGCCCGAGTGTGATTTTGGGAAAGGCCTAAAGAAAACAGGGCCTTGCTGCCAGTATTCCTCCCGTGCTCCCATCGGGGCTCCCACCAGGGCCAGGAGCCCCAGAGCCCATGTGTGCACGGCTTGCACCACCAGAAGGCCAGAGCTGCTCTTGAGGAGTGCTGGGAATGGACATCCAGGCCCCTTCCTACCCCTGAAGGTCAGCAAGCGCAGTGGAAACAGCCGACCTGGTGTGCTGCAGGAGGGGGAGAATGGAGAGCAATGAAAACGACCCGAGAGCGGCTTTCACACAACTCATTACAGATGCTGTCACTTCACAAAGCACCACCAACCCCTGCTCCCAGCCCCAAGCAAAGCATCTCAGCTCACAGCACTGCATGGCTCGCGCTCGCCATGGGTCAGGGGCCCCAGCTGTAGGGCACAGCAATGTGTTAGCTGCCTCCCCACTCCGAGCAAAGACCAACTCAGCTCCGTGCTGAGCAGGAGGACCCCCCCCCCTGCTCCCCCAGACACACACACACTGGATATGGGAAGGGAAAAGTGCAGGGAGATGATAGAAGAACAGATGGCTGGGGAAGGAAGCAAGCAGCTGAGCACACAGCATCTGGTTTGAGAACCAGCAGAGGAGGTGGGCACAGTGGGGGACAGGCACAGAGAGGCAGGCAGGATTCAGGAGCAGCCAGGATGAGGGATGCAATTAAAGGCAGAGCAAAAACGAGCAGCCCTGGGAGCCGTGTCAGCACAAGGGCAGCCCTGTCCCCAGGACATGCCGAGGGGGTGCTGGGTTCATGAGCATCACACGGCAGGGATTACAGACATGTGAGGACAGAGAGCAACAGGGCTGAAGCCCAGCACAGAAGCAGACTGCAGCAAGGTCAGGGAACACTCAGCAGCAAAAAGCTGCAGCAGAGGCTGCTCGGGGTCCCCAGCTCCCACCTCCTGCCAGCTCCACAGCACAGCAGCGCCGTGTCCCACCGCACGGCTCTGCAGGGCTGCAGCACCAACCCCAGCACGCAGCGCTGGAGCTCATTCCACGTTCACTGCATGAATAAGCAGATCTGTCTGCAGAGGGGGAGAGCGTCCATCTGTCCGCCAGCGCCCGAGCGTGAAGGTGCCTGCATGGAGCTCACGGCAGATGGGTGACAAACAGGGACAAAGCATGCAAAGCTCCCCCTGCTCTTCCCCCCCCGCCCCCCAGCTCAAGGGCACACAGCACAGCCGGGAGCTCAGGGCTGCAGCAACCAGCTGAGACAGGCTGGGAAAATCCGCCTCCAAGGGCGCCTGCGGGTCTCAGGGGTGCAGGCAGCCCAACTGCAGCAATGATGGCACGCAGGGCGCAGGGAGAGCACGCACTGCCCTTCTGTTCTCCTTCATCCCCGCGTCCACAAAGCAGCCTCAACCCTCCCTCCCCCCCCCATCACATCAGGGCACGCGCAGCAGAGAGCACCGGGCTCAGCATCGCTCACCTCTGCCTGCAAAGCTCTCCTTGCCCAGCAGCCAAATCGCCCCCACCACAGCTGCTGCTGTTCTGCTGACAGCCCGAGTTACCGTAAAGCAGAGCAGCAAAGGAGCTTGAGAGCCTGCAGGCAACGCCAGCAGCTCCTGGAGGAGCACCGGCCGCATTGCTGCAGGGAGCCCACAGCTCTGAGCGCCTCAACGGCCGCAGCTGCGACTTAAATCCGGAGTTGATTGTATGTAATCTTTTAATCTCTTACCTCCTGCTGTTTCACTTTTTCACCTTAAGCAAATCAATGACAGGAGAGGGAAAAACCGCACCTGGGTCAGCGTCACCAAGGAGAGTAATGCTGCGGGGTCCACACACCTCCAACGCGGCTGAGCTGCTCCCCAGCGCTCAAGCAGAGCCCCAGGCTGGGGACACCCACCCTGTGTGCTGGCACAAGGCAAGGCTGCTCTATGAGGAGCTCATTGGTGGCAGGTCACACACAGCTCGGCACCGTCCCACCCTCCCCACTGCCCAGCACTCCATCCCAAAGCTCAAGGAAGCCAAAAGAGGGTGCACAGCGTCCTCCAGCTCCACCTCTCAGCCATCTTCTGTGCTGAGAACTGCCTTAAGCAGCTTTGGCTTGCATTAAAACCGAGAGGCATTTTAATGGTTTAATTGCAATCCCGCTTGGAAGGCATCTGAAATGCCTCCACCTGGGGGCACGCGGCACCGTATCGCAGGAGAGCAATTCTCCATCCTCATCCTTTCCACCATCACCGAGCCCTATTTGCACAAACTACTCAGGCAAGGAGAACAGCGGCCCGAAGCGTTTTGTTCCTTGACCTCAGCAATGCACGCTCCCCAGGATCTCAGCGCCTGCTGATGTTATCAGCCTCAAACGCCTCCTGTCGCTCAGGGCACCTCCAGCATCACCACCCAGCCGTTGCAGTCTGACGGCTGCTCTCGGTGCTGTGCAACGAAGCCGTGCACGCAGCAGCAAACCCAAGGTAACAAAGCATCCCATACCTGCCCAGGCACAGACAAACCTCACCTCTGAGAACACCGGGTTGAATCCCCCTGGGCACAGAGCTCATTCCTCGTTCTCTATGTAGGATGCTTCAGGATTCACTGCTTGCTCTCCTCCCAGCCTCACCCCATAAACATCCCAGCTACGTGGAAAACAACAGCAATAAGAACAGAAAAACAACCCCTGCAAGATCCCAGCTCTGCATTCCTCTGTTCCTTCCTCCAGGCCACGTCCAAAGCTTGGATAAACAGAACTGGGCACGAGAAAACCTCCAAACCTCCAACCCCCCTCACAACGAGAGGCACCGAGAGCAGCACATCCAGCACGGCGCCGCCGGAACCACGCGCAGAGCTCGGCTCCGAGCACGCGGGGACCCCCGGCAGCCCAGCGCGGAGCCCTGCGGGGACGCAGAGCCCAGCACCGTGCCGACCTGCGGGGACACGCAGCTCCCCGCCCCGCAGCACGGCGATGCGACGGAGCTGCTCGGCCTCCGGCTCGCTCCGCACGCCGAATTTCACCCCGCTGCCCTTCGGGCCGCCCCGGGGCAGCGCTCGCGGCTCAGCCCATCACTCAAGGCAGCTCAACGCGATGCAGCACGGAGCGAATCCCGACAAGCCGGTACCTTTTTGGGCGCTTTGGTGACGGTGGCCATGAAGGAAAACTTCTCGGCGTCCTCCGCTTCCTTGGCCTGCTTCGCCTCCTCGCCGCCGGCGGGCTCCGGGACCGACATCGTGCGGCGGGGCGGAGCGGAGGGCGGGGAGGGGAAGGGAAGGGCAGGCTCGGCTCGGCTCGGCTCCGTTCGGTTCGGCTCGGCTCCGTTCGGTTCGGTTCGGTTCGGCTCGGCTCCGTCAGCGCCGGTTCGTAGCGCTCTGCGGCGGACACTGCGGGCGCCGCGCGAGGCGCCGGGGGCGTCTCTGCTGTGACGTCAGCGCGTGGTGACGTCATCACGCGCCCGCCGGAGAAGCGAAGCGGGGAGACGGCGGAGGGGAGAGGTGGGGGGGGAAACGGAGCTGTTGCGCCCCCTGGTGGTAGAATGGGGGAACGGACCGCCGTGGGAGGACCGGGAAAGTGGGAGGGGGCTGAGGGGGGGAGCGTGGGGAAGAGTGATGATAGATAGATAGATAGATAGATAGATAGATAGATAGATAGATAGATAGATAGATAGATAGATAGATAGATAGATAGATAGATAGATAGATAGATAGATAGATAGATAGATGGATAGATAGGTGGGTGGGTGGGTGGGTGGGTGGGTGGGTGGATGGATGGATGGATGGATGGATGGATGGATGGATGGATGAAGAACTAAAGGAGTAAATAAATAAAGGGCAAAAGAAATGAATAAATGAATGAATAAATAAGTAAATAAATGAAGGAACAAGTAAATAAAGGAATAAAGGAATGATCGAATGAATGAATGAATAAACAGATAGATAAATAAAGGAATGAAGGAATAAGATCAACCCACTGATTTTCTGGTTCTGTAATAAATAAACAAATAGAATCATAGAATGGTTTGGGTTGGAAGGGACCCCGAGGATCATCAAGTTCCAAACCCTGCCTCGTCCCCTCCTTCCCCCCCTTCCAACCTCATGGAATCCAGCAAGGTCCTGCACCTTGGTCAGGACAATCCCAAGCACAGATTAAGGTTGGGTAGAGAATGGCTTGAGGGCAGCCAAACAAAAGAAAGAAGCATTTGTCACGGTGGGGAGGGCTGGGATGGGGTGTAAAGGTGCAGGGATGGTCAGCACCCCCAGCCCAGCCCACCACAGTTCTCCCCGTGGCCACGTCCCCTGTCGATCCGGCAGGGCTGAGGGCGATGCGATGGGCACTGCGGCTCATCCTGCCCTGGTGTCCATCTGTCCATCCATCCCCACGGTGCTGAGGGGCTCCTGTTCCCCCTTGGAACCCTCATTTCCCACCCTGTCCCCCCCCTAAGTCCCAGCAATGGGGTTACACCCGCGTGCCTCCCCACGTTGCTCGCCCCCACCGCAGCCCCGCAGCGACAAACCCACGGAGCGAGCGGCGTTGCGGCCCGTATTTATCCATGTAACCAAAACCGTTCTGTCTGACCACAGATCAGGCCTGGGCCGGTCCTCACTCGAGGCAACCCATCCCATCAGGGTGGCCGGGATCTGTCCCTGCTGCCCCGATGGCCCCAAGTGGGGAACCGCAGCCCCGCGGTGCTTTCCGGGACGGCGCTGCCCCGTCAGCAGTCTGCGGCCGTGCAGCCCCATGGGGAGGGCTGCCATCCAGCAGTGCCCCATCCACAGCCACCCCGGTGCCAACGCTTCTTTCCCTGCCCACCTCCTCAAACTTTGGGGTTTCGGCTTCCGTCTGAACGCATCACCTGTTTTTAAGGTGGAAAAATCCATCCTGGGGGCTCTCGTGTACCTGCAGGAGGGATTATCTCCCCTCTCTCCTGTAGAAACATGGAGGGGTAGGAATGGCTCCATCCTTCCTTAAGGTTCCCGAAAGTGAGCATTGAGGCTTTGCAACTCCAACCCACCTTTAGGGCTCCCAAAAGTGTCAAGTTTGCCCCTTAAATCTCCTCCACTCGCTTTTGCTTTGGGCTGCCCGGAGCATGTGGGGGTGCTGGGGGTGGCTGTGGGGGAGGTGTAGACTCGGGGAGGTGCCCCCCCACCCCACGGCCCCTTCTCCAACACCACCGCCCCACAGCCATCATTCAGCTCCAAAGCTGCAGCAGGGCAGGGGCTCGCTGCCCCCCTCTTCCCCTCCACAGCCCCCAAGCTCTGCTCACCCCCTTGAGAACAACCCAAGCAGCCTCTGACCCCAACCACCCCCCATCCCCCCCCTCAACGCGACCATAATCACTATGGCCCAGATCCGGACAGATATATATAGGTCCCACTTCCTTGGGAAGGGGATGTGGACCTGGGAAACCCCCGGCTGCTGCTGAGGAGAGGAAGGGCTGGGCTGAGTCAGCTGCCCTCGAGGAATCCTGTTTGTCAGCAAACACGGCCCCAAACGGCCCACAGAGAGCTCCCCGGCCCCATCCAACCCCCCCTCATTGAGCAATGGGGGGCTCAGCCTGCCACCCCCCAGCTGCAGACCCCTGAGCTGCAAACCCCACGCGTGCCCATCAGATGGCTTTGAAGAACTCTCATATCCCAGCGTCTCCCCCCCTCAAAGGAACCGGTTTTGCACAGAGAGAAAAGGGATGGGGGGTCTGGGATCTGTTGGGGGTGTTGGAGAAGGAAATGCCTCGTGGTGCTCTGCCTCTCCAACTGAAGTGCTCGCAGGAAGGCAGCCTCAAGTGTGTTTGCTTTTAGCAGCTGCTTTGCCTCCTCCTGCAGGCGCTGTGGGGTCAGGAGGGGCTTCCAGCCCCGAGCCCCCATTCGCAGCGTGGGGATGGGGATGGCAGGAAGGCTGGGTGCATCTCAGTGGCCGTGAACTCCTGCACTCATCAACAGGAAAACAGGGTCAGCGTGACCCCTGATCCCAGCTCCGGCCATAACCAGCCCTCACCCTGCAGCCCCCAGTGCTTTGAGGGGGGGGGGGAAGGCGAGGGGTTCCCTGCAGCTCTGAGCATCGCTGCTTGGATCAGCCCCAGCTCCGGGCCAGAGGTGCACAGAGCGCCCTGGGGTCAGCACTCCATCCTCCCCCTGCCTTTCCCATAGGAGAAGGGAGCAGCACAGCCCCCAGCGTGACCAGAACGGCCCCCCCAGCGCTGGGAGAAGCCCCCCCCCACCACCCTGAGATGCACAGCAGAGCTGGAGAGCTGATCCCTCACCATCCCATGCTATGGGAGCGAGTGCCCCCCTCCCACCCCCCAGCACATCCCATAGCAGCACCACCGTCCCAGCCCCAAACTGCGGCCCCCTCCACCCCCCACCCCCCACCCCCCACCCCATCTCCTCCCACCCCCCAGCTCCAGCTCCCACGCTGACACAGCGCTGCACGTCCGTCTTTATTAATAATATTAAATATACAAGCTGCTTTCTATTATTTTCCTTAAATAGACTTCTTTAAATGACTTTGTAGAAAATATCTCACCATTTCACTGTACAAAAAAAACCCGAAACAACAGAGGCAGAAAGAACTCCAGCAGCCCCTCCCCCTCCCCCCCAGCACACACACACACGTGTGGAGCCAGCAGCAGCTCCAACCCAGCTCTGCACCCCACTTCCACCCCTCCCTCACCCCCAGGAATCGCCTCCTTTTGGCAGTCCATAAATACGCATAGAAAAATTAATACTAATGCTTTAAAAACAAAAAAAAAAAGTGGGGTCTGTCCCTTTTTTTTTTCCTTTTTTAATATATATATCATATAAAAATAACCATTCCCAGCCCAGGAGCGGCGGCGCTGGGGAGGGATGCTGTGTGGGGTGGGATGCAGTTTTGGGTACCGCTGAGCCCCAAAGCCTTTCCCTGCACCCTCAGCATCACCACCACGCTGTGCTCCAGCATCAAAATCCAGTCTGGGCGAGGCCAGCTCGCAGCAATAACCCTGCAGGGAGGGAGGGAGGGGGGAGGGAACCCCCCCCCCCCATCCCCCAAAGTGCATTTGTTGGATAAAAGCTTTTTATCCACCGCGTTCATAGAGAAGCTTTCCTGCGCTGGGCAGCTCCCAAGTCCGGCTTGGGATCGCGGCACGGGGACGGCACGGCGGGTCTTAAATATTCACAGTGTGAGGGGTTTCCCCTTTGCAGTCCTGGCGTCGGGTCCTCAGCACCGGTGGGATGCGGGAAGGCTCCCCCCCTTTGCCCTGTCCCCCCCCATGGTTGCCGTGCCAGGCGTGGGTGAGGAGCAACGGGAAACACGGACGGATGGAGGGGGGGGATTTTCCACTCGCAGCTTCGGACGCATCCAACGCCGCCCCCACGGAGCCCCTCGGTGCCATCCGCCCCATCGCCAAGGTCCTGCCGGGCTGCGCTGCCCCGTCCTTCCGTCCTCATCCGTGGGTTGTGCGGGTTCCAGCTGCAGGCCAGGGGTTGGGGCTCGTCGCGTCTGGGGGGGCCGCACAACGGCCGTCCGTCGCCCAGCGAGGAGCGCCCCCGTCCGTTCACCCCCCCGCCCCCCCGAGCAGCGTCACATCCCGCCAGGGGGCCCTGAGGAGAGAGGGAGAAAAGTCAGCGGGAGATGAGGTTACGGTGGGGAGAGGTGCGTTCAAAATTGGGAAATAACGTAAAATAAAACAGGGAGAAAATATATATATATATATATATATATATAAAGCCTGTATTTAATAGAATGCCTCAATACGCATCTAAAAACTCGCGGTTATGAATTAACGGGCTGCTAAACCGCACGTTGGCCGCGTTGTTGAGGCGCAGCCCGGCCGCGTCTCCACCCAGCCCAGCTGGCAGCCCCTCCCCGCCCCAAGATTGGGGTCAGCGCCCCTGGGATGCGGCCGCCCGCCCGCCCTGCCCCCTCCCCTCACCTCACAGCTCCTGCGTCTCCAGCTCCGCGCACCCCTCCGCTCCCTGCAGCGCCCTGCGAGGCAAAACCCAGCGGGGGGGTTACAGGGCGGGCTGTGGGGCCGGGGTCCCCGGGTCGGGGTGGACAGGGGGAGGGGGGTCCCCAGATTCCCCAGCCGAGCGGTAGGACGGCACCCACCTGGTCTCCGGCTCCTCGGGGTCGCAGCCCCTCTGTTCTAGCGGCCGCTGCGGGACCTGCGAGGAGGGAGGGGTGAGGATGGGGAGGGGGCTCCCACCTGGAGAAGGAGGTGGGGGATCCCCCAAATAACGCCTCCAGCGCCGCT